TACTTGCAGATAATTTTCCATACTTGAAAACAAATGTGGCTCCTGGACCAAAAGTATGCTGAATAAGCAAGGTAACTGTTGAACAGATTACAAAGAATTGGTAGAATATCAAAGATAAAGAGGCAACTTAAAAGCTTCCATGGAAAGAGGCAAGATTATCTACAAATAAAAAACAACTATACTGACAGCAAACTGCTCATAGGCAACAAAGAGAATTTAATGGTATAATATTTCAAAGTGCTAAGCGAAAATAATTGCTAACCTAGAATTTTATCTTGAGCCAAACTATTATTCAAGAGTACAGGACACTTTAGAGTTTATAACTAACAGACCCTAACTTAAAGAAACATTAAAGGAGGTACTTTTGTAAGAAGAAAAGTGAACCCAGATGGAAATATACAGATATAAGAAACAATGGTGAGTACAAAACTTGATAAAAGTCAGTATATATTTCATTAACCATGACAATAAAAAAGAAAACTAAAACTTAGCAAACTAGGAGAAATACCTTAAAGAAGCCAGGAAAAGCATAAATTTATGAACTAAAGGACAAAGAACAGAAAGGATCAAAAGCTAAAAAAAGTTGAGATTACTTTTAAAACAGAATACTATGAACATTATCCCATTAAATATAAAGTTTTCTCTGTCTCAAACAAACTATTTAAAAAACCAGGCTGGTAGGCCCTGGTCAGGTAGCTCAGTTGGATAGAAAGTTGTCCCAATACGCTAAAGTTGTGGGTTCAATCCCTGGTCAGGGCACATATAAGCAACCAGTAAATGCATAAATAAATAGGACAACAAATTGATGTTTCTCTCTAATATAAAACCAACCAACCAACCAACCAACCAACCAACCAGGCTGGAAATGAGGTATCCAAATAGGAAGAGAAAAAAAATAAAAAGGAAAATTATGGTTATAAATATTTATAAAATCCTTAAATATAAAATTAACACCTATAACTGAACTGTAAAAGTTAAGTGCATATTAACTATAATCTTGAGAGCAAGCACAAAAATATTTCAAAGAAGTTTAGTTCAAACGCCAATTAGAAAGCTAAAATAAAATTCTAAAAAATATTTAGTCATTTTTTTTAAAAAAAAGCAAGCAAAAAGGAAGAAGAAAAAACAAACACTCAAACACCAGAGGAGGCAAATAGGAAATAATAAAGTTTTACAAATCTAAACATACAAATAACGACATTAAATCTTTTGGGATAAACTCTCCAATTAAAATGTAGAGATGGTCAGAATGGATAAATAAGACCCAGTTATATGCTGTCTCAAAATAAGAAATTTACTCAAAATAAAGACACAGATGGGCTAAAGGTGAATGAGGTTAAAAGATATAACATGCACAAGAAGATGGGAATATCTATACTATGGTCGGATAAACCAGATTTAAAGAGAGCATTACCAGAGTTACAAAGAGGGGGTTTCATCAGATGCAATGGCCAAGTCATCAGGGAGACTTAACAATCGTTAAGTGTATATGCCTACTAATAAAGTTTCAAAATACATGAGTCAAAAATTTATAGAATCACAGGGAAAAATAGTTCTGAAACTGTCTGATTTCAGCAACTGATAAAACTAGAACAAACAAAACATAAAAACAAACAAACAGGATTCAAATCCTGACAGTTTCTTCAATAAATGATGTTGGGAAAATTGGATAGATAAATGCAAAAAAGTGAAACTAGACCCCCAACTTATACCATACACAAGAATAAACTCAAAACTCAAAGTGGATAAAAGACTCAAACATAGGGAAAACCATAAAAATCCTAGAAGAAACTATAGGCAGCAAAATCTCAGACATCTCTTGTAGCAATGTGTTTATGGATATATCTCCTGGGGCAAAGGAAACAAAGGAGAAAATAAACAAATGAGGCCTACATCAAAATAAAAAGTTTCTGCACAGCAAAAGAAACTACCAACAAAATGAAAAGGGAACCCACTATATGGGAGAACATATTTGGAAATGATATATCTGATAAAGGTTAATATCCAAAATATATAAGAAACTCATACAATTTAACAAAAGGAAGACAATCCAATAAAAAAATGGACAAAGGACCTAAATAGATATTTCTATTTAGTGGACATACAGATGGTCAAGAGCCATATGAAAAATGCTCAAAGTCACTTATCAGATAGATGCAAATTAAAATGACAATGAGATATCATCTCACACCTGTAAGAATGGCTACCATCAACAAATCAAATGACAAGTGCTGGAGAGAATGTAGAGAAAAGGTAACCCTAGTGCACTGCTGGGGGGAATGCAGACTGGTGCAACCATTATGAAAAACAGTATAGAATTTCCTAAAAAAATTAAATATGGAACTGCCATTTGACCTAGTGATCCCATTTCTAGGATTATATCCTACGAAACCCGGAACACCAATCAGAAAGAATGTATGCACCCCTATGTTCATAGAAGCACAAATTACAATAGCTAAGATCTGGAAATAGCCCATATGCCCACCAATAGGTGCGTGGATAAAAACACTGTGGTTCATTTATAGTATTTATACTATGCAGCACTAAAAAAGAAGACTCTTTTACCCTTTGAGACAGCATGGAGGGACCTGGAGAGTATCATGCTAAGTGAAATAAGCCAGTCAGAGAAACACAAGTATCATATCATCTCACTCATATGTGGAATCTAAGTAACAAAATAAACAGATGAATGGAGAGGATTCAGAGACATGAAAGCATGGAACAGAGTGCGAAATCTCAGAGGAAAAGTGGAGGAGGTTGGGTGGGTGGGAGGTAATCAACCAAAGATCTTGAATGTATATATGCATAACCCATGGACACAGCCAATAGAGTGATGAAGGCCTGGGGCAGGGGTTGGGGGCTGGTGGAAAGGGTCAATGGGGGAAGAAAGGGGACATATGTATCACTTTCAACAATAAAGATTTAAATAAATACAAACAAAACCTGATAACTGATAATGTTCTCATGCTTTACTAACGAACAACTTAAAACAACAACAGTAAGGTATTCTAGTGTAGACTAAAAGTTAAAAAGCAATTTTGAAAGATATTAAAGAAAAAAATACCGCCGAAACTGGTTTAGCTCCGTGGATAGTTGGCCTGCGGACTGGAAGGGCCCAGGTTTGATTCCAGTCAAGGGCATGTACCTGATGCATGAAATTCATGCAAGGGGATTGGCCCTTGCAGTCCTGGCTTCATCTGGAAGGTCATTTGGTTGTATGGTCTAATTAGCATATTATGCTTTTATTATTATAGTTTAGGGCCTGAGGATTACACAATATAGAAAAAGATGAATGGTAATGCATTTTATTTTTATGTGGCTTTAATTTATTAAACACTATTTACAAAAAATATTTTTTATTGATTTCAGAGTGGAAGGGAGAGGGAGAAACAAAAACATCAATGTTGAGAGAGAACCATGGATTGGCTGCTTCCGGCACGTCCCCCACTGGGGACTGAGCCAGCAACCCAGGCATGTGCCCCTGACTGGAATTGAACCTGGGACCCTTCAGTCTGCAGGCCGATGCTCTATCCACTGAGCAAAACCTGCCAGGGCTATTAAACCATATTGGGGTGCCTACTATACTCCTATACTCTGGTAAAATATAAAAGACATAAAAATTGTGTCTCTATTTTCAAAGAGCTCATAAGCTAGATGATGAGAAAAATTAACTTTCAAAAAACAATAAGCAGGTATTTATGGTCCAGGGATAGAGTGTATTATTTTATTTTCCTGTAGAAAAATATTTGAGTTACATTGTTTTGTTCCTGCCCATTCCATGTGATTCACTATAAATATTAGTATCAACATATTTAATTATCTAGAGAGAAATGTGAACTATAAAAATTCTTACACAGAAATCTCTTTTTGGTAGGGAAAATGGGAGTGCCTTTTAGTGACATTCATGAAATACCAGTACTGGTTAAAAACAAATTCTGCAGTAATTTTTAATTTATGTGAAATAAACTATTAAGCAACCCAATCTTTCAGCTATAAGAGCTTTATCCTTACACCTACCTGAACTTATATCTTGTTAAGAATACATTAGAGGCCTGGTGCATGAAATTCACACACTGTGTGCGTGTCCTCAGCCTGGCCTGCATCTCTTGCAGTCCAGGACCCCTCACTCCTTACCACTTCCGCCACTGCTGCTGTGCTTGCCAGCCTGGCTTTTGGCTGAGTGTTGCTCCCTCTGAGGTAGCACACTGACCATTAGGGGCAGCTCCTGCATTGAGTGTCTGCCCCCTAGTGGTCAGTACACATTACAGAGTTCAGTTGATTTGCATATTAATTAGGGTTTTATTACTGTATAAAGGATGTTGCGAACATATCAGTTTTCATTTGTTTTAGGTCATTTTCATAAACAAGTTATACATTTTTTCTATTCCCAAATTAAAATGCCAAGTGCCAGTTATAAAATTTGACTGCTGTGAAGTTACACAAAGAAAACCATAAATTAGCTTTAAAATTTTATTGAAATTCAGATTTAGAATTTAATAATTTAATATAATATTATATTGAATATTTTCTAACCAGTATCCTCACCTGCTTGTACATGATATCTGGACACAACGATAAGAATTGATACTTTTTACCTAATTTTCCATAATATGCCAATTATACACTTATTAAAATCTCAGGTAGTTATCAGAATTTAAAAAAATAAACTAAAATATGGAAAATTTAAGACATTAATAAAGCAGAAACTATAATATAGAAAAGAAAAAATTTATCTTAACTGTTAAAATTGTTAACATTTATTGTAGTAATGCGATATGAATTTTTAACATAATCATATGAATTTTTCATTAAAATGTTCAACTATTTCCTACTGAAGCATGTTCAAAGTTATAAAAATCTTTTCTTTTTAAGTAACTTATACTAAATTAGTCCAAAAGTGGCACTTTAGAGAAGACATTTATTCCACTGCATATCTTAAGTACCCAAGGTGCTGCCTAGTCAATAGCAGGTTACTGAAAAAATGTGAAGCATGGCTTTCTTTATGGAGTGAGTCGTTTGGGATCACGGGGGAACATTGAGGTCTGACGAATATTGTGCAATCCCAAAAACAGCATAGTCACTCGTTCCAAACCTAGGGAAAACAAAATAAACATTAGTTCCTTTTCTGAAAACCTCTCAGGTTCTTACATTTTGAAAATTACCAACATAATATCGCTGATCAACAAAATAATTTTTCTTGTTAGGAAGGAAAATGACTTCTATTTCAAGTTTATTTAAAATGGAATGTTTTAGGTCTGATTCAGAAATAGAGATGATGCTTGTTGAGAAGGACAAAATCCTGTGAAATGTGAACTACAAAAATCTATGTAAATGTCCAAAGTTTATGCCTCAAACAAATCCCCCCCAACCTATCATATAAGCTTGTATGATTTCAAATAAGACTAGATTCCAATGTAGTTCAAGTCATCAGTATAAGACAAAAGTCATAAACCTGTTCAAGGAAGTTTATTAATGGAAGTACCAGAAATTCGTTGTAGTTTGATAGACATGTAACATGGTAGTTCCTAGTATAAAAGACTCTATAGTACATTATTGTACTAAATTCTTTGAGTGCAGAAGAGACTGACTTTGACTTAAATATTATACTACTGGTAAGAATTATGACCAAGTACCATCTATAAAACAACAAAACTAGCAAATGAAACATTTTATGTGCAATTTGATTTATCTATTTCACTAAAGCTGTAAGAAGACTAATCTACCACATAAAGGAGGCAAGGTCAGAGAATAATCTTATATAACAACTTTTAATTTTAAAGGAATATACTTAGTTCTAAAACAGAAATATAAATAAGAGAATTAACATTTTAATTCTTATTCCTTACCAAAAAACATCTGCAGACATATATTTGAACCTTGTATTAAAGTAATTAACACTAATCATTTTTATAATTCAAATGTCCTTTCACAAGTAAAATTAAAATATACATTGCCAAATCAGTCACAAAGTTTGTAATGTTATACTAACTGGACATTACTGAATACTCTAAGAGAAAATAGTCATAAATGTCTCATTGAGATTTAAACTATATGTTCAATGTAGTGTTGTATGTAATAACAAATGGCTATTAACAATCTAATGTCCTAGGAAGCTGACTAACAAGGTTATAGCACATCCTTTCAATGGAGTCTAAGTAGTGATAAAGAATGAAAAAGCATTTGAGATATTGATAAAAAATTAATAAAAATATAGTAATTGAAAAAATGCAAGGTATTGGATGATTTACATAGTATGCTACAATTCGTAAAAAATTATTTTTACAAGTGTGTATATTTTTGCACATGCATAGATTACCTTTGCATAGGGAGTTGAATGCATACTCCTCCATACCCTTTTAATTTGAAATTATGCACCAAAACCCCCAAACAACTAATAAAAATGGCACAAAACTATAAATTGAAAATTACTTTTTAAGTCTTTGATATGGATATTTAAAAGTTGAGTTAAACATTTACTCATTTCAAATCAGAGAGCAGCAGATTACACATACTCTAGAAATAGTCCTGAAAGTCAACGAAATGTTACATTTCAACAAATCATTTAGCAGCAATCTGAGCTAATTTGAGGGACAGCTTTAATTTGGGCTAATTTGAATGAACTCATGGATGGAAAATAGAGGGCATTTCATTTACAAGACATTTTGCTTTCTAACTACTAAGATAAAAGAATGGCTAGAACTTTATTACAATACTAGAGGCCCCGTGCACAAAATTCATGCATAGGGGGAGGGTCCCCTCAGTCCAGCCTGCACCCTCTCCAATCCTGATGATCGAGCCTAATCTGGCAGTTGGACATCTCTCTCACAATCCGGAACCACTGGCTAACTGCTCATCTGCCTGCCTGTCTGATCACCCCTAACTGCCCCCACCCTGTTGGCCTGGTCATCCCAACTGCCCCCCGCCCCCTGCCAGCCTAGTCGCCCCCAACTGCCCCCCTGCCGACCTGGTCGCCCATAACTGCCTCCCCCGCAAGCCTGACTGTCCCCTACTGCCCCCCACCCCCCTACTGGCCTGGTTGCCCCTAACTTTCCCCTCTCTGGTTTGGTCACCCTCTACTGCCCTTCCCTGCCAATCTGGTCACCCCCAACTGTCCCCCGCACCACCAGCCTGGTTGCCCCATGTAGCCCGCTGCTTGGTTGTTTGGTCACCCCACATAGCCTGCTGTTCAGTTGTTTGTTTGCCCCTTACTGACCCCCTCCTGGCCTAGTCGCTCCACATAGCCTGTTCGTCATCTGTTCGGTTGCAATGGTCGCTTAGGCTTGTATATATAGATATTTATACTAGAGGCCTGGTGCACAAAATTCATGCTCGGGGGTGTGTGTCCCTCAGCCCAGCCTGCACCCTCTCCAATCTGGGACCCCTCTCACAATCCAGGACTGCTGGCTCCAAACTGCTTGCCTGCCTGCCTTCTTCATTGCCCCTAACTGCTTCTGCCTGCCAGCCTGATTGATGCCTAACTGCTCCCCTGCCAGCCTGTTTGCCCCTAACTTCCCTCCCCTGAAGGCCTAGTCACCCCTAACTGCCATCCCCTACAGGCCTGGTCCCCCCCAACTGCTCTCCCCTGCAGGCCTGGTCCCCCCAACTGCCCTTCCCTGCAGGCCCGGTTGCCTTCAACTTCCCTCCTCTGCTGGCCTGGTCACCCCAACTGCCCTCCCCTGCAGGCTTGATTGCCCCCAACTGCTTTCCCTTGCAGGCCTGGTCCCTCCCAACTGCCCACTCCTGCTGGCCTGATCACCCATAACTGCCCTCCCTTGCAGGTCTGGTCCCTCCCAACTGCCCTCCCCCGCTGGCCATGTTGTGGCAGCCATCTTGTATGTTGGAGTGATGGTCAATTTGCACATCACTCTTTTATTAGATAGGATAGAGGCAAGGTGCATGGGTGGGGCCGGCTGGTTAGCTCTGAAGGGTGTCCCAGATCAGGGTGGGGTTCCCTTGGGGTGTGAGGCAGCCTGGGTGAGGGGCCTGTGGTGGTTTGCAGGCTGGCACGCCCTCTGGCAACCCCAGCAGAGGCCCTGGTATCTGGGATTTGTTTATCTCCTATAATTGAAAGTTTGTAGCCTTGAGTAGAAGTCTGGTCCAGCCAGGAAGCTTGGCTTCCTCCACTGCTGGGAAAACAGAAGCCTCCTGCTCTCTCTGTGGCTACAGCCATCTTGGTTGGGTTATTTTGCATACTCACTCCTGATTGGCTGGTGGGCATGGCTTGTGGCTGTAGTGGAGGTACGGTCAATATTATTATTATTTTTTAATATGTTTTTATTGAATTTTTACAAAGAGGAAGGGAAAGGGAGAGCTAGAAACGTCTATGAGAGAGAATCATCGATCAGCTGCCTCCTGCACACCCCCAACCGGGGATGTGCCCGCAACCAATGTACATGCCCTTGACTGGAATCAAACCTGGGACCTTTCAGTCCACAGGCCGATGCTCTATCCACTGAGCCAAACAGGTTTTGGCTGAATATTACTCTTTTATTAGACAGGATGTTTTAATATATTTTTATTGATTTCAGAGAGGAAGGGAGAGGGAGGGAGGGAGGGAGGGAGGGAGGGAGGGAGGGAGGGAGAGAGAGAGAGAGAGAGAGAGAGAGAGAGAGAGAGAGAAATATCAATTATGAGAGAGTCTGATTGTCTGCCTTTTGCACTCCCCACACTGAGGATTGAGCTTGCAACTTGGGCATGTGCCCTTGACTAGAATTGAACCGGGACCCTTCATTTTGCAGGCTGATGCTCTATTCACTGAGTCAAACCAGTCAGGGCTATTACAATATTTTAGAACCCATAAGTCAACTGTTCATTTTGTTCTTTGAAAATAACATTTTTATTTAGTCATAATTCACTTTAAAAGTTCTTATAATTTGCCCAGATGGCGTGGCTCAGAGGTCATGGTTCGATTCCCAGTCAGGGCACATGGCTAGGTTGCAGGCTCAGTCCCCATTAGGGATAGTGTCGGAGGCAGCCAATCAACAATTCTCTCTCATCACTGATGTTTCTATCTCTATCTCCATCTCCCTCCTTCTCTGAAATTAATAAAAACATATTTTTTTAAAAAAATTCTTATAATTCAGATTTGTATTACACTTAGCACTTATGGACTTTCTTATATGCAATAACAGAATACAAAATTTACTTGTAGTCTAATGTTGAAGAAATTTAGTTAGAAATGAATGAATACATTGCCAACTGAAATCTGGGTTGGGAATATTGTCATAATATTAAAGTAATGTATTACCAATGCCTCCACCAGCATGAGGAGGGGCTCCAAAGCGGAAGGAATCAATGTATGCCTTAATTTTCTCCAAATCTACAAAAAAACAAAACAAACATAATTTACCATTGTATTTAGCTTTAAACAGATAAAAAAGCAATTACTGTTAAATGAAGAGTTAACCAAATGACTGTTTCTGACAAGTCTTTAACGGGTTTAAAATGAGTTATTATCACTTTCCTAAATACATTTAAATGGTTTACCTATTCCATGATGTAAGGCTCTCTCAGTTAGCAGCTGAGGATCATGTATTCTTTGAGCTCCTGACAGTATTTCTTCTCCTCTCATGAACATGTCATAAGAGTTGGACTGTTTCTGCAGGGAAAACAAACAAGCAAAAAACATTACTTATCAAAAGTGGCTACCAACCAGAACACCTAGCACACAAAACTATTCCATCAAATCAGGAAAACAATTAAAATGCAGACAAGAGGCATGACATAAAGGAAGGAGATGGAGGAAAAGAAAAGAATGGACATTGAGTTCAAAACTACAGTTATAAGGCGTTTCAAGAATATCCTTAAAAAGGCGATAAAATAAATGAGACCTATGAGGATATGAAAAGGGATAAACTAGAAATAAAAAGGGATCAACTAGAAATAAAAAGGGATCAACTAGAAATAAAGAAAACATTGTCTGAAATAAAAAATATTACACAGAGTCCTAAAAACAGACTGGAAGATCGCAAGAATCAAGACAAAGATTTAGAACACAAAGAGCCAGAGGACACTCCTCTGCAGAAGCAAGAAAATAAAGAGAATCCAGAAAGTTGAAGATAGTGTAAGAAACCTCTGGGACAATTTCAAGCGAACCAACATCAGATTTATGGGGGTCCCAGAAGAAGAGAGAGAGCAAGATACCAAAAGAATACTGGAAGAAATAGTGACAGAAAACTTCCCCCACCTGGGGAAAGAAATAGACTTACAAGTCCAGGAAGCCTGCAGAACCCTAAACAAAAGGAATCCAAGGAGGACCATACCAAGACACATCATAATTAAAATCCCAAGAGCAAAAGACAAAGAGAGAATATTAAAAGCAGCAAGAGAAAAGCAGGTAGTTACCTATAAAGGAGCACCCATACGATTGTCAGCTGATTTCTCAACAGAAACCATGCAGGCCAGACGGGAATGGCAAGAAATATTCAAGGTGATGAATAGCAAGAACCTACAGCCAAAAATACTCTACCCAGCAAAACTATCACTCAGAATCGAAGGCCAAATAAAGAGCTTCACAAATTAAAAAAAAGCTAAAGGAGTTCATCACCCCAAACCAGAATTATATGAATTGCTGAAGGGGGTTATTTAGGAAGAGGAAGAAAATAAAGATAAAAATTATGAACAACAAATACGTAACTATCAACAAGTGAAACTAAAAACCAAGGGAATTAAAAAATCTGATGAACAATATTAACTGTTGAATATAATAGAATCAGAGTTATGGAAGGGGAGTGGACTGACGATTCTCAGGGAAGAGGGGAGTGGGGGTGCAGGAAGAGACTGAACAAAAACTGTGCACCTATGGATGAGGACAAAGGGGGATGGGGAGGACAGAAGGTGGGGTGAGAACCTGGTGGAGGGGAGCAATTGGGGGAGAGGGAGAGGAACACATTTGTAATAATCTGAACAATAAAGATTAAAAAAAAAAGTGGCTACCATTTTATTTCTATTACACATGTGGGGAAAAAAAACAACACCTTTGTTGCATGGAGAGCAAGTTCATTTTACTCTACAATTAATGATGTACCTGCTCCAATGAACATATTGTCTCTCTAACACAGGTTAAATTAGTGAGGTTTGAATAGTGACTTCTTTTTTGCCTCTCAGATTTAATACTCCCCTTCTCCCACACCTTCCAACATCAAATCAGAGCACCATATCTAACTTATAAGAAGTGCCGATTCTCATTTTACTTTATCAACAGAAATGTTTTTAAAAGGCGAAAGATTTATGCGGTCTGAAGAGAAACCAGAGCATAACAGAAATGTTTTTAAAGGGTCACTTCTGGAACTTCAAATTACCAATTTACATTTTTTTTTATTTTAAGGTAAGCTTAACCATGCTTTTCCTATTCTCTATCAGGTTTTCACTTACTTTCCCTGTCTTTCAATAAATCAGTGGTTCTCAAAGTGTGATTCCAGGATTAGTAGCTTCAGTGTTACCAGGAACTTGTTAGAAAGGCAAATTTTCAAGCCCTACACCAAACCAACTAATCAGAAAGTCTGATGAGGAGGCTCAGAAATCTGTTTTAGAAAGCCCTCCACGGACTGTGGTGCACACTAAAGTTAGAAACCACTACAATGGAAAAATAGTAAAAGGCCACATTATTTAGATTCGTTCAAGGTCAAAAATAAATTTTGCTAATGTCTGCAAATCTAGCAATACTATTTATTATTTATATAGTGTTTCTTTCTCAAATCTTCAAAAAATGACACACAGAAATGATTTTTAAATAGGCTTTTGGAACAATTTGCTAGAATATTCAGATTTCACTTTGACCTCAACTGACAGAAACTAGTCGTAATCCACATGACATGACCATTGAAACGGCAAATTATGAATGAAAACCATTATTCCCATTTATAATTTGACAAAGTAACAATCAAGTTTCCCCTCTTCCCCCAAACAGGTAATTTAATATCAAATTACTTACAGGATTTCTTGGGTCAGGCATGGTATAGAAAGGTCTTACAGCCAATGGATATTTATCAAGAATATAAAAATCGGTATCATACTATAAAAAGAATAAATACAATTAAAATAGTTTTTAAAAGTTTAATGGAAGTGAAAAGAAGGCTAGCACTTAGGCAATTAATACATATGTCTTTTTTAATACATATGTTTTATACTTCAAAATTACTGTATTTATACTGTAAATAAAATGAGTATTCTATTTCTTTCAAGTAATATCTGTAGCCTTTAGTATTTTGCCATAATGTTGTATATTCTTCCAATACTTAATTTTCTTTTTTAGGGTGACATATAATTTCTCTCTAATTTCTCCCACACTGAAAATTATGCTGTGATAAACTTCTTTGATTTTCATTTTTTCCTTTGTTATTCTAGCTCATTTAGTTCTTCATATGTATTTTATGTTAAGTTATTTATGTTAAGTTATACCAAATATATTTGGGTTTTACAAGAATAACAAAAATTTTAAATCTAAAAATTATTTTAGGAAAAATAAAACTTTATCTTCCCAACAATTAAAATTTCAGTCTAGACATCTAAATGAAATTTGGTAGTTTTCTTCAATGAAAACTACAATTGAAATCAATAACAACATAAAATTATGACATTTTTGTTAGAATACTTACTATGTGACCTAGATATAATTAAAAAGAAACCAATCACATTTCAACTATCTTGACGTTAAACATTTTTACTAAAACTGTACTGTAGAGGGAATGTCAACAAAACTCTGCTGAAACAGCATTTTAAAGGTATAAATTCAATACTGTGTAGTTTCAGAAATAAGACTTTAGTTTCCCAGTCAGTTTAACAGTTTAGCGTGCAACCAGCAAGGGGCGCTAAAGGACTATTTTCATTTCATCACACAACTTAATTTCTTTAAGCATCTTTCTAAGTTTAGCTTTTATCTTCTCTAAGAGCTTTAGAAAATGAGATAGGAAAGTAGCTTTCATATAAGAGGCAGAAAGGAAATTCATTCTCCCTTATCTGGAGGTCCTTTCTAACCAATCTGACATAGATATCACTTTAGAGATACCTCAGTACAACTAAGTACAAACATTGAATACTGAATTAATCAAACTGTTTGGGCAAAGTCTGTTTGAATATTTTTTATTTTTCTAAGATTGAAAAAAAAGTGCCCCTGGGTTTTTACTTATTCTGGAATCATAATATTCTAGGAAAATCCATGATACATTTCAGATTTAGAGAAAGAAATCCAGAATGTACAGGAGTCCTACCTTTTCCTTTACCAAACGACCCAACAGTTTTTCATTCGGCGTACTAGAAAACAATGAAAATATGATTAATTCTTAGAGTTATTAAGGCACCACTTCTATTAGAAGTTCTCAAAGAATAAAAAATTCAGCCAAAACCATTGTTTATTCTGCTCCTTTTTAAAAAGTTAAGTACTGCTACCGGCTTGGATAGGGAAACCTCGCCATCTTGAGAGGAAGATAGGATCGTGTCAGAGGCCTGAATATCAACAGCCACAGCTACCAACAAGCAACTGTGATCCCCAGAACGCGGATCCAGCGAACACCTGGCCTCACAGGAGTGACCCACTGCTCCGCGAAAAGGTCAGATTTCGCGGGGAGAGGGTGGAGCGCACTCGCGGCGAAAACAAAGCCTGCGCACAGAGTGCAGAAGCTGGAGGACAAGGGCGGTGATTACAAGTAGAAGCCCCCGCTGTTGGGCGGGTGTACCCGTGAAAGCAGACGGGGCTCCTAACAGGGGAGATATCTAAAGAGCAACACATTTGGATCTGGCGCGGAGGGGTATCGGAGAGTTGCAGGAGATTGCAGTTGCTCGGACCTGCCCCCTCCCCTCCTCCATAGTTGCTGCTTCAGAGAGGACTAAAAAAAAAAAAAAAAAAAAAAAAGCTGGAGAGGCTCTAGAGTCTGGGAAGTCAAGCTAGAAACACTGCCCCCAGAGGCTAATTCACAAATGGACTCTAGTGTAATAAAAACAAAGCAAAACCCGCCTAAAAATCAGGACTGGATCATAACAATAGAGGAAGCAAATGACTTTCATTACTGCAAATTTTATTTAAATTTTTTAAATTTTATTATTTTTAAAAAATTTTTAAATTTTTGTTTTTTATTTTTGTTTTCATTATTTGCAACGTTTACTCAAGAAACTATTTTTTTTCTTTTTCCTCACTTGATTTTATCTTTATAATTATTACATTGTTTACATAATCAACATTTATTACTACTACTAAGTTACCTTTTTCATCTTATTTTCTTTTATTTTTATTATTTTTATTTCATTTGATTATATATATATTTTTTATTTCAGGATTACTGTTCTACAGTCTTCATCTATCTTTCCTTCTCCAACGCTTTATTCTATCTCAACCTTACCTTTTTGCCTTCACCCTCTTCCGATCTTTTCCTTTGGTACCCCGTTTATCTTAACCCTTTCCTGCTCTAGATTTTGCCCATTCCTTCTGTCTACCCCCTCCTAAAATTTCACCCTACTTGTATATATCTAATTTCCAACTACTTGCTCCGAGCCCATTCACACCTCCCTCGCAGTTGTCCTAAAAACAAAACAAAACAAAAAAAAGTCTTTCTCTCTAACTCTTTGAAGTTGTATGTTGAATGTTAACTATACTGAAGTTGTATGCTTTTTTTTTTTTTTAAAATAAGATTGATTTGCCTATGCTTTTTGTTTGATTGTATGTTTTTGCTAGCTGGGTTCTAGTCACCCTTATTGGTGGTTATTAATATTGCAAACACATCCCCATTCAGTCCCTTGTGTGTTGTACCTGGTTGTGTTGTATTTTGTGCCTTTAAATCAAAGCAGGAGAGAGAGAACTACACAACCAGACATCCTAGATCATGGGGAGACCAAAACACAGCCCGCATATGAAAGAAAAGCAGGCTTCACCAGAAAAGGAAGTAAACGAGATAGAGGCAAGCAACCTACCAGAGCAAGAATTCAGAGTAATGATCATAAGATGGCTAAAAAGAATGGAAGACAAATTTACAATATGAGTAAGAACCAAGAGGAAATGGAGAACCAAGGAGAAATGAAAAATTACATCGCTATTGTAAAGAACTCAATAGAAAGCATCAAGAGTAGATTAGAAGAAGCAGAGGATCGCATCAGCGCGCTAGAAGACACGATGGAAAAAAATACCCAATTAGAACAGCTTCTGGAAAAAAAATTTAAAAAACAGGAGGAAAGTCTAAGGGAACTTTGGGACAATACAAAACAAAACAATATTAGAGTAATAGGGGTTCCAGAAGGAAAGGGAATTGAGGAAGACATGGAAAACGTATTTCAAGAAATGACAGAAAACTTTCCTGAGATAGAGAAGAAAAAACCCACACAAATCCAACATGCTCCCAGAGTCCCAAGCAAAATGGACCCCAGAAAACTGACCCCTAGACACATTATAATTAAGCTGGCAAACCAACGACAAAAAAAGAATTTTAAAAGCAGCCAGAGACAGACAGAAAGTTACATATAAAGGAACCCCCATCAGACTAGCAACTGATTTCTCCACAGAAACTTATCAGGCCAGAAGGGAATGGGATGAAATATACAAAGTCATGCAAAGGAAGGGTCTGAATCCAAGAATACTGTACCCAGCAAGGCTATCAATCAAAATTGAAGGGGAAATCAGGAGCTTCACAGACAAAAACAGACTAAGGGAATTTATCTCCACCAAACCAGCAATGCAAGAAATGCTAAAGGGTCTACTGTAAAATTAAAGAAATAGAAAGCAAAGAAGGAACACAGGGGTATAGAATAAAAATGGCGTCAAATAAGTTTCTAACAATAATAACTTTAAATGTAAATGGACTAAATGCTCCAATCAAAAGACATAGGGTAACGGATTGGATAAGAAAACAAGACCCATATATCTGTTGTCTACAAGAAACCCACCTCAGAAAAAAAGATGCACACAGACTGAGGGTGAAGGGATGGAAAAAGGTTTTCCAGGCGAATGGAAATGAAAAAAAAGCTGGGGTAGCAATACTTATATCTGACAAATTAGATCTCAGAGTGAAGGACATAACAAGAGATAATGAAGGCCACTTCATAATACTAAAGGGAGCAATCCAACAAGAAGAAATAACCCTGGTAAATATATATGTACCCAATACGGGAGCACCCCAATATATAAAAAAAACTGCTGGAGGACATTAAGGGAGAGATTAATAGCAATACAATCATAATAGGAGATCTTAATACCCCACTGTCACCCTTTGACAAGTCATCTAAACAAAAAATCAGCAAAGAAATATCAATCCTAAATGACTCGCTAGACCAGATGGAATTAATCGACATCTTCAGAACATTCCACCCCAAAGCCACAGAATATATATTCTTCTCAAGTGCACATGGGACATTCTCAAAGACAGACCACATTTTGGGACATAGGCAAAGCCTCTTCAAATTCAAGAAGATAGAAATCATATCAAGCATCTTCTCAGATCATAGTGGCATAAAACTGGAAATTAACTACAATGAAAAAAATCCAAAGAAATCAAACACATGGAGACTAAACAGCATGCTATTAAACAAGGACTGGGTTACCAGAGAAATCAAGGAAGAAATTAAAAACATCCTGGAAACAAATGACAATGAAAACACAACTATCCAAAATCTATGGGACACAGCAAAAGCAGTTTTGAGAGGGAAGTTCATATCCCTACAAGCCTATTGCAAAAAACTAGAAAAAAGGGTAACAAATGAGCTAACTCTACAACTCAAAGAGTTAGAAAAAGAGCAACAAGAAAAGCCCAGTGTAAGCAGAAGGAAGGAAATAACAAAAATCAGAGCACAGATAAACGACATAGAGACCAAAGAAACAATACCTAAGATCAACAAAACCAAGAGCTGGTTCTTTGAAAGAATAAACAAGATAGATGGACCTCTAGCCAGGCTAAGCAAGAAACAAAGAGAGAGGACCCAAATAAACAAAATCAGAAACGAAAGAGGTGAAATAACAACAGATCCCGCTGAAATACAAAGGATTGTTACAAAATACTACGAACAGCTCTATTCCAACAAACTGAACAACCTGGAGGAAATGGACATATTCCTAGAAAAATACAACCTTCCAAAACTCAATCAGGAAGAATCTAAAAATTTCAATAGACCAGTGACTTGGGAAGAAATTGAAACAGTCATCAAAAAACTTCCAGCAAACAAAAGCCCAGGGCCAGATGGCTTCACAGGAGAGTTTTACCAAACATTCAAGGAAGAACTAAAACCTATCCTCCTCAGACTATTTAAAAAAGTCCAAGAGGAAGGAACACTTCCAAACTCCTTCTATGAAGCCAGCATCACCCTAATACCAAAACCAGATAAAGACAACTCAATGAAAGAGAATTACAGGCCAATATCCCTCATGAACATAGATGCCAAAATCCTCAACAAAATTCTAGCAAATCGGCTCCAGCAGAGCATCACAAAGATCATACACCATGACCAAGTAGGATTTATTCCAGGAATGCAAGGATGGTACAATATCCGCAAATCAAGAAACGTGATACATCACATAAACAAGTTGAAAGATAAAAATCATATAGTCATATCAATTGATGCAGAAAAAGCATTCGATAAAATCCAACACCCTTTCCTGATAAAAACTCTCAACAAGGTGGGAGTACAAGGATCATACCTCAACATAATAAAAGCTATATATGATATATATATTTAGCCACAGCCAACATCATACTCAATGGGCAAAAACTAAAACCATTCCCTCTAAGAACAGGAACAAGACAGGGATGCCCACTTTCGCCACTCCTCTTTGACATAGTACTGGAAGTACTAGCTATTGCAATTAGACAAGAGAAGGAAATAAAAGGCATCCAAATTGGAAAAAAAGAAGTAAAGCTATCCTTATTTGCAGACGACACGATATTGTACATAAAAAACCCAAAAGACTCCATTAAAAAACTAATTGGCTTAATAAATGAATTTGGCAATGTAGCAGGATACAAAATTAACGCCAAGAAATCTATGGCATTTCTATACACCAACAGCGAATTTATAAAAACAGAGACTAAAAAAGCAATTCCATTTACCATTGCACCAAAAAAATTAGGATACCTAGGAATAAATTTAACTAAGGAAGTAAAGGACCTATATGTGGAAAACTACACGACACTGAAAAAAGAGATAGAGGAAGATGTAAACAGATGGAAGAACATACCATGTTCATGGATTGGTAGAATCAACATCATCAAAATGTCCATACTTCCTAAAGCAATCTATAGGTTCAATGCACTCCCCATTAAAATACCAACAGCATATTT